AGTTATCAAAAAGTTATGGATGTCCTGGAGAAGCAACTGACATCTTCATCATCATCAATAAATCCTATTTCTTTTAGTAAAGTTCATATTAATTATGTATTAATAAATTCCTAGAAAATCTAAATTTTACTCTAGGTAACATTGAGGCAGTTAATTTTACAAGTGGCCCACATAACATTACCAAAATATGGAAATTTCCAAAGAAAAGGGCTTTTCACTCCATGCAGGCCTATATAGTCAGATGAAATACTATTGGGTTCATATAAGTGTGTGATATTTACTATAAATTAATTTATATAATGTCAATCTAGAATTCAAAATAGAAAGTCATTTTTGAAGATAATCCCAAAATTAGAATTTTTAAGTAATGAAAAATGTGCAAAAGGAAATATATTTCAAGAAATTAATTTCCACAAACAGAAGAAAAGTAATGGTAATCATTTAAAAAAGATGTCGTGTAGGAAAAAGGTCCACAAGGTCGGATGCTAAGAATACAACATTAATAAGAGGATATTTCAATATGGTCAGTTTGCTAACTACTTCCTTGCCTCTAATCCTCTGTCCTCAAATTCAGAATATCAGAATGACACCCTTCCAAACAAGTCTGTTAACCATTGGAAATCTTGAACAATGCCCATGAAGAATACACAACAAAAGAATATGTGACAAAAGAAATGTTTTATGGCCTGAAGCAAATCCCCTGTGTTTCCGGCTTCATCTTAAATTATTCCTGTTTCTAAAATGGCAGAAATCAGTGGGGTCGCAAAGAGTCTGACAAGACTGAATGACTGAGTATACTAACAAAAGAAAGTTTTCATATTTTTTTAAAAACAAATAAAGGGAAAAGCCTCAATTATAGGGGAAATTAGAATATATATGAATAAAAATTTTGTGAAATTGTAGAAGAGAAAAAAGAAAGGGACATTTTGTATTTCATATTGTTCATTTCACATATCTGACATGCATTAAATATTTACCTATTGATGATATCATTTTGGTTTATTTAACCCAAGACTGAAATACACTAATGTAAATTAAGTATTCAGTACTTAGTTCCAATTATATGTGCTCACTTTTTCTATAAGTGGGGATAGAAAGCTAATACCACAGCATACAGTATCTAATGTGTAGCATACATTTACTTTTTGGAAGACAAAAATTAGATAGATTCCAAAATAATAAAAATGTGCATAGGGAATTACATGCATGGTATGAAACATGCTCAAAAATGTTTGGAAATAACAATTCAAACAATTTTATAAACCAGGGAACAAATTATGCATGAGAGAGTTATCAATGAAAATCAGCACCAGTGACAGATTTGGGGGGAATAAAGAGAGAGATGCAGCATAAAGAAAGAGAGAGACTGTTTATATAATTTCAATGTCCTGGGCATATATTCAGAAACAAATTCACTTGAAAAGATGCATAAATCCATAGTTCATAACAGCACTTTTACAATAGCCAAGACATGGAAGCAACCCAGATGCCCATCAACAGAGGAATGGATAAAGATGTGGTACATATATACAATGGAATATCTATTGTTTAGCGCTAAGTTGTGTCTGACTCTTTGGGACCCCGTGGACGTAGCTAATCAGGCTCCTCTGTCCATGGGATTTTTTCAGGCAAGAATACTGCAGTGGGTTTCCATTTCCTCCTCCAAGGGATCTTCCTGACTCAGGGATCAAACCCAGAATTAGCTGGCAGATTCTTTACCCCTGAGCCACCAGGGAAGCCCTTACAATGGAATAATATTCAAGCATAAAAAGAATGAAATAATATCATTTGTAGAACATGGATGGACTTAGAGATCATATTAAGTGAAGTAAGCCAGACAGAAAGCTAAATATCTTATGATATCACTTATATGTGGATCTCAAAAACAATGATACTAATGAATTTATTTATAAAACAGAAAGAGAGTCACAGACCATAGAAAACAAACTTATGGTTACTAACAGGGAAAAGGCTGGGGGAGGGATAAATCAGGATTTGGGGAATAACAGATATACACTATTTCATATAAAATAGATAAGCAACAAGGTCCTACTGTACAGCACAGGAAACTATACTCAGAATTTTATAAAAATCTATAGTGGAAAAATATCTGAGAAATATATTACATATATATGTAACTCTTTTATTGTTTCATATATATGAAGCAGAATTACCTCATACACTGGAAACTAACACAACATTGTAAAATAACTATACATCAATTAAAAAAAAGAAAACATCAATTAGTCCTATCTATTTCACTAATTTTAGACTGAGGGTAAAAATCAGCCATGTTTTTTAAAATCCAGAAGTTCTAGAGAACTTGGAGTATGTTTGGAAAAGTTAGAAGACATAAAACTGTTTATGAGGCTACCAGCTGTGTCGAACATTTCCTCAGGACATATCTTTCATAAACCCCTAATTTTAATCAAAGTGCATACTATAAAAATCATTTCTCCTAACACTTAGGATCACTGAAATAATGTATGTCTATTACTTCTTGATACACTAACTTGTCTTTTCATATTTATATTTTGAATGTATTCTAATTAAACTCTTCCTGAATTCAAAAACCCATTAGAGTGCTTTTATTTTAAAATCTAAGGGGAGAGTTTACTCAGCACGTATTACTTTGAATTCTCATGCCTGTATAGCCACTGATCCTTCAACTAATGGTGACAAATATTCTGTCTAATAGAATAAAGTCAACAACTTTTTAATATTAAGATGATTTAAAAGTGCTTAAAAGTTACTGATGATTAAGATTTTAGACCATGGTGATTCTCAGCACCCAAATTAATTTTGGTATCTATTTTTAACATCAATGTTTTCTTAAGAATTATTATCTTTTGGATGATTTAACGTGGTAAGCAGCAAATTTCATTTAAGAAGTTCAAGCCTAAAATGACACAAGCATATAATTAATTTCTTTACAAATGTCTCTAAATGAAGTCACTTGTTTTAATACAGATATGTGTAGTAAGAAAGTTACAGGGCAAGTACAAGGCACATGATGAATGTAGTCATGAAAAAAAAACAATTTTTAATTTAGTAGACCCTATCAATCTAGAAAGCCTATGAATATTTACTAATAATTCAGTATGATGAAAAATAGATAGAAGAGATGAGATACATACAAAAGATGAGCATCATATAATAAAACTCTTACTACAAGAGTATCAATGTCTATTACAATGTCCATGACCCCATAATTACATTTGAAATTAAGAATTTAATGGTAGCTTCACATCCCTAGGGCAAATATTAAAATAAAATGTACTTTTTAAAATAAAATATGTATTCAGATATTGAAAGACTGCTGGGTTATGATCAAGGTCTTTATTCTGAGAGCAAAACAATTTAAAAACTTAACATGTGATAAGATTATAGAGATATAGAAAAAGTTTTCATGTATATTCATAGCCAGAATATGCTGTTTCATACACATGTATGTTCTAAGGGTTCCGTAATTCCACCTTTTGCCTTTCATCTTCACAGTTATTTTAACTTACCTTCACCATCTCTTAGAATCTTTTAGCAATTCAGCTCAGATAAACATGCATTCACATAACAGACTGTCTAGTCCTTTTCAAGCGAATGCAGGACACACATGACTCCTCGGAATTTACAATGTAGTACTGGAAGCAGACCAATGAAAAAAGAACTTTCAAATAACAAGGCAACTGCTGTAATGAAAATTTAAGGGACAGGCACACAGGAAAATCCACAGTAGGATCCCTATAAAAATCTAGTTTGGTATCTCAGGAAAGGCTCTATAATGGCAAAATTATAATATAATAACAAATAGATGATAGGTATATAGACAGATGATGAACAGATAGGCAGATACAACTCATGAATCTTGAAAAAAGAAACCATTTCAAAAAAGTGTAGTTCAACTCAACTTGAAACATGAGATTTGAAGAAAGCTCCCCACCAAAAATTCCAGTGGGACTCATTGTTTCAGTCACATGGTTGATCATGCCTTTAGTGGTCTCTTACCTACCACCTCTGAGCTTTTATATTTCACCCCTATACTTGCTTCACCAAGATTCTGCAAGAGAATTAATCACTAATATACTGATATCCACTGTATACTATAAAACATCTCTCATGCATTTTAAGTGAAACTAGCTATGTAGCATCTATGAGAAAACCGAGAAAAGAGATACTAGAAACTTTTTCTATAGGGTTAAAGTATTTCATGAAGTAGGGCATGAAAAGACAAATGTTTGCCTATGGAAACAAGTTACACTGGTACAAATCAAATGTAAATAGAAAATGTTCATAGCTTTGCACTATCTGGGTTTATTTGTTGCATGCAATTTAGAAGTAACTACTAGTACACTGGAAAAGACCTTGATGCTGGGAAAGAATGAAGGCAGGAGGAGAAGAGGCCGGAAGAAGATGATATGGTTAGATGGCATCACCGACTCAATGGACATGAACTTGTCAAACTCTGGGGGATAGAGAGGCCTGGCCCGCTGCAGTCCAAGGGGTCACAAAGAGTCAGATACAACTTAGTGACTGAACAACAACAATACTAGTACATTGGTTGATAATCTTCACTATATTTCTTGATTGACCAAATGACTCTCTCTTTGATTCCAAAAAATACCCATAGTAATCCTTTGTATATTGTCCTTGCTCTAATATGCTAAGTAAAAGGACAATAGACCCTGAAGGCATGGAGGAAGACAAACTATAGACCTTTAGGAATTGAGAGATAATAATTAAAACAAAAAAATTCTCTTTTTCTAAATGTACTGGGAAATAAATGAACACTTACCTGTTATTTAAGAGAATCATAGCAGGTCTTCATTCATATTTCTATTTTTTTTTTGTTTAGTAGATTTAATTTTTACTTAATTTTAATATTGTAGTCTTTTAAAATGTTTATATACCATCTTCTAATGTAATTTAGAAATATACTTTATTCTGTGATTAAAACCTAGTTCATATGTTAAGCAGGAAAAACAGACCTCATAATCATATATTACCTTTTTCAATATGCATCCTTTTTGACTCATGTCCCATGTCATGACCAGCCAAATCTCCCTCTTTGGGCCCAGGGAGTACGTTTGGTGATAAACCCATCAGCATCTGGTTCATGGACAACCCATTCTGATGGACAGCTGTCAAGCCCAAAACAAAAGATAAAAGAATAAAACACCATAATACACAATATTCAAATAACCTATTTAAACTCTTTTGGAATCAGAAATAAATAAAACATCACGGTATAACTTTAAAATTATAATCTATCTCTATGTTGAACACCATGAGGACTGATAACTATGATAATTCTTAAGAACAAGCAGAAATATATTGAAAAAGAAACTATTTTATCCTCTATTTATCTCATAAAACAGGTATATTTTTTAATGTCTAGAATACTTTTCAGTGGTCATAACACTATAATCATTACCAATGAACTCTTCAGGCTTTATCTAATGTAACACATCCTCTCCTGAGCATATAACCTTCTGTAACTGCAAAAACTACAGTGTTAAAGCTAGAACACTCTAAGACTATAAAGTTAAAATATAATTTAGAATAGTTTTAGTGGCATGAGAGGGTAAATAGAGTTTTCAGCAAGTTAAGTCACTGAAATAGCACTGAGATTCAATATTCATATTCTATTCTAGTCAATGGGCTTCCCCAGTCACTCAGAGGTAAAGAATCTGCCTGCAATGAAGAAGACGCAAGAGACATGGGTTTGATCCCTGGATTGGGAAGATTCCCTGGAGGAGGAAGTGGCCACCCATTGCAGTTTTCATGGACAGAGTATCCTGCAGGGCTGCAGTCCATGGGGTCACAAAGTGTTGGAAATGACGGAAGTGACTGAGCATGCACACACACATCCTAGTAGACAAGACCCTAAGTTTAAGAGATAGCAAAGTACTTCTTTAAAATTTTGATTTTGAACTCAAATTTAAAAATAAGACTGACCATTAATATCTATTAAATGGCTGAATGATTAAAAGCAATAATTTCTTTCTTGAATTATTAGGAGTAACCTGTCACTACTGACATGATAAAGCAGGTGACCAAACACCCTTATGATCTCAATACAGTCAACACATTTCTTAATAAATTGCCCATGAAAATCTTGGTTTTGTGAAAAATTTTGAAGAAAGGTCATTCCATAAAACCTTACTTTCACTGAAAAAAAACACATTTTAAAAATATGTAGAATAATTTGGAGAAGGGCATGGCAACCCAGTCCAGTATTCTTGCCTGGACAATCCAATGGACAGAGGAGCCTGGCGAGCTACAGTCCATGGGTTTGCAGAGTCAGGCATGACTGAGCAATTAACAACAACCCACAACTTTACTCTTAATTTTCTTGATCATGAGGACAAGGATTAAATATCTGAAAATGTGATCACAAAATAAGGTATGAACCTACTTTTTAGAATTTTATAATAATAACATGTGAAGATAAAATGCATTATTGACTGTTACTAATTCAAATCCTAAAATTTGACCAATTTAAAACTATTTAACCTGTTGATCATCTGAATGATTATGAAATGTGTTTTTTTAAAAACAGTTATTTTGAATCCATTTCTTTTATCCCTCTTTGTCAATGCAAGGATGAAGTTTAAAAACTAGTAAATTTTTAAAAACTGGCAAGGATGGGATTGAAGGAATGAGGAATAATTCATACTCAGTATATTTGGACACTAGATATTTGAAAGTTGGAGGCGTTTACTTCAGAAACTAATCTAGAAGGTTATTTACTTTCTCTAACTGTTTCATAGCTCAAATCTTTATGTGTGGCATCAAAAAGAGGGAGTTTATATCAGAATTGTTAATGTAGTACCATACCTCATGCTATTGCAAACTGGAAACATAATTTTGAGAGATGGCTATGGCCACAGAGCTTCAGAAGATGATACATCTGAGATCTCTTCAGAATGAGGGCATTTTGATTAGAAAAGCCAGCTGCACCTAATAAAGTTTAAAATGGTGACAAGTGAAGAATGACACCTACGAATTCTGTCCGAGGAGCTCTCAGTCCGCGCTGGGGAGCTGGACACACTGCTGCTGCGGTGAGATGATGGGTGGCTGCCAGGCCTTCGGCCCTCCTCCAGGGAGGGGGCAGGTGACGGGCTGTCGGGAACACGCTCCTATACCGCCAGGGGAGGGTGGGGGGAAGAAAAGAGGTAAATACATTGGACCCTTGCTTAAGCAATGTTGGTTTTTCTTAATTCTACAGAAATGTGAAGACAACACATTTTTCCATCAACATTTAACTGGATTAAAAGACACATTTTATTTATTTTAAAAATTTTTTTTAAACTTTTATTTTGTATTGGGATATAGCTGAAAAGCAATGTTGTGATAGTTTCAGGTGAATAGCAAAAGGATTCAGCCATACATATACACGTATCCATCCTTCTCCAAATCCCCCTCTCATTCAGGCTGCCACATAACAGTGAGCAGAGTTCCATGTGCTATACAGTAGGTTCTGGTTGGTTATCCTTTCTAAACATAGCAAGCAGTGTGTATATGTTCATCCCAGACTACCTATCTTTTCCTTCCTCCCCACCAACAACCAAAAGTCTAAGTAAGAAAAGAATAGAAAGGAAATAGGTGAACACCACTGTAGTAATGACAAATGGTAATCCCCTCTTTGGATAAAAATAGAGGTCAAAAAAAAATCCAGTTTAGAACCATTAGACAACAAAGAATTAACAGAACAAAGCAAGTTTTAATTCTAGACAATTACCATTATAAAAAAACCTAATACATAGAGTCTATTGATTCAGCAAGTGTCTAGGATCATTTAACACACAAATTATCATAGTGACATCATCAAAATAATACCAGAGGAGCTGTTAACAGCTATTTCATTATGGGACTTCTCTGGATATACTTGGGCAGTCACATTTTAAGGGACCAGGGAAATCTATTATTATTTAACCTTTGAATAATTTTGATTCTGGTAATTTCCAGACTCCGAGCTTCAATGCAACCCACAAATATATTAGTGAAAATTCATGAATAATGTATTAGGTGTATCCCAGGGAAACATGGTATCATATTTCCTGATCCTGTCCTACATTCACACTCAGGTCCCACTCCATATCTCACCCAAGCCCTGCACCTTCCCAATGAGACCAATGTGCAAATATTGGGTTGGCCAAAAAGTTCATTCTGGTTTTCTGATTTTTTTTTTTTTCGTTGCATCTTACTGAAAAATCCAAACGAACACTAACTTTTTGTCCAACCCAATCTGTATAACTGTCTCCAATGAACTATTATAAATGGATCTACAGATTAATAAATAAAATACTCATTTGTTAATATTTGCTTCTTTGAGCAAAGAGATATTTACACCTTCAGATATTTACATACTCTCCTTGAAGAACACTTTTCAATAATTCATAAATCTTTGGAAGTGTACAAGTCAACTGATACATGATACATAATAAATAATAAGCAAATTATTCCTGATTAGAGTGAAAAAATGCAAATATGAAATAAAAGCAGACTGAAATCAAAAAAAGTTCTAGAATGAAATCATCCTATAGGAGGCTATTTTCAAAATATCAAAGGCTAATGTAATATAGAAAACAGACAAGCTTAAGGCTTTGTACTAACAGAGAAAGAGTAATGCTTGTCTTCAATCTCAAAAGTTCATTTAGTCCAGTGATGGTTTGCAATTCTACTTTCCATTAGAATCACCTGGGAAGTTCCTCAACATTCCCCCGCCTGGGCTTTACTCCCTGAGATTCTGGCTTACATGAGTTGAATTGTGTCCCCTCAGAATGACTGAAGTCCTGACCTATGGATACTTATGAATGTGAGCATTTGGAAAAAGGGTCTTTGCAGATTAAATTAATTGCAATGAGGCCATACTAAAATAGCATGGCTTCTCCATCACACATGACTGATGTCTTCACAAGAGGACATTGTGAAGATATGGGGAAAATGTGAAAAAGAGAAAAACTGCGAAGAAGGAAAAACATCATGTGAAGATGAGGTAGAGATCTGACCTCTGCAGCTGCAAACCAAAGATTGCCAAAGCTCCCTATCCACCATCAGGATCTTTGGAGATCAAGGAAGGATTCTACCCAGAATCTCAGAGGAAGCATGGTACTGCTGACACCTTGCTTTCAGACTTCTAGACTCCAGAAATATGAGGGTATAAATTTGTCCTTTTAGGTCACCTGGTATGTGCATTTACCCTGCGTCTGCTGTGGGGCCCAGAAACCAATATTTTTTAAGGCTCTCCAGGTGATATTAACATATATCCAAGATTGAGCATCACTTGTCTCATATGCTTTTAATTTTTCAATCCTACACATTGTCAGTAATCTTCAACAGTTACACTAAGGCTTCATTCTTGAGGGTCATACAAATAAAAAGAAAATAACCCTCAAAAATAGCCAAGCCTTCCTCCAAAATCTAAACATAAAACTGTTTCTCAGTATGTGTTCTGTAGAATAAGAAATGGTCACACAATAAACTCTACAGCAAAGAATTTGCCAGGTCAAAGAATATCATAACAAAAGAAAAGGAAAAAAAGGAAAAAAAAAGTCAACGAAAGTCTACTCTTTATAGTTAGTTGCAATGTATATTTTAAAAATCTATGTCTCAACATGAAAAATGAATATAATTATCAGTTTTTTTGCTCCAAAGTAAATAAATCAAACAAGTTATGCTTCTAAGTAGTCTAAATTCTATAGGTCTATAGACAAATGACCTAAATTTCTAAGAAAAAGCACATATATGATTTAAAAGAATGGAGAACCCACATCTGGATGCTAAAAGTTACTGCCCATCTTCTAATTATAATTTAAAAGCAACTGGGATTATAAATCTTTCTTTTAACATTCACCTTTAAGTCAAACTTAAAACAGCTTCAAACTATGAACTTATTATGTGTTCAGTCTGATGAGTTTTGTCAAGCCCTCGACAATTTCCATAACTGAGAAAGACTCCCATGCCTTTTTCCAACCTATTTCTCCCATCCCCATAAGCAAATGCTTTCTGAGTTCTATCACCAGGAAGTAGTTTGGCTGGTTCTAGATTTCACAAAAATTAGCTCATATAGTACCTAATTTTTCATGTCTGCCTCTTTCACACAAAAACATGTTTCTTAGATTCATTCAGGTTGTTGCATGTATTAATAGTTTATCTTTTTTCTTTCTGAATATATTCATTTGCACACAATGCTCAAAATTCTCCAAGCCATGTTTCAACAATACATGAGCCATGAACTGCCAGATGTTCAAGCTGGATTTGGAAAAAGGCAGAGGAACCAGAGATCAAACTGCCAACATCCATTGGATAATGGAAAAATCAAGAGTTCCATAAAAACATCTACTTCTGTTTTATTGACTATGCCAAAGCCTTTGAGTGTGTGGATCACAACAAAATGTGGAAAATTCTTTAAGTGATAGGAATATCAGATCATCTTACCTGCCTCCTGAGAAATCCGTATGCAGGTCAAGAAGGAATATTTAGAGCCAGACATGGAACAAGAGACTGGTTCCAAATTGGGAAAGGAGTATGTCAAGTCTGTATGTTGTCACTACACTTTTTTAACTTATATGAAGAGTACACCATGAGAAACACTGGACTGGATGAAGCACAAGCTGGAAGCAAGATTGTCAGGAGAAATACCAATAACTTCAGATTGTAGATGACACCATTCTTAGGACAGAAAGTGAAGAGGAACTAATGAGCTTCTTGATGAAAGTGAAAGAGGAGAGTGAAAAAGCAGGCTTAAAACTCAACATTCAAAAAACGAAGATCGTGGCATCTGATCGCATCACTTCATGGCAAATAGATGGGGAGACAATGGAAACAGTGACTTAATATTTTGGGGCTCCAAAATCACTGCAGATGGTGACTGCAGCTATGAAATTAAAAGACACTTGCTCCTTGGAAGAAAAGCTATGACAAACCTAGACAACATATTTAAAAGCAGAGACATTACTTTGCCAACAAAGGTCTGTATAGTCAAGGCTATCGTTTTCCAGCAGTCATGTATGGATGTGAGAGTGGGACCATAAAGAAGACTGAGCATGAAAGAGTTGATACTTTTGAACTGTGGTGTTGGAGAAGATTCGAGAGTCCCTTGGACTGCAAAGAGATCCAACTAGTCGGTCTTAAAGGAAATCAACCCTGAATATTCATTGGAAGGACTGATGCTGAAGCTGAAGCTCCAATACTTGGGCCACCTGATAGGAAGAACTGACTCACTGGAAAGACCCTGATACTGGGAAAGATTGAAGACAGGAGGACAAGGGGATGACAGAGGATGAGATGGTTGGATGTCATCACCAACTCAATGGACATGAGTTTGAGCAAGCTCCAGGAGTTGGTGATGGACAGGGAAGCCTGGCGTGTCGCAGTCCATGGGATTGCAAAGAGTTGGACAGGACTGAGTGACTGAACTGAACTGAACCACAATTTTTAATTTAAAAAAGGCAATAAAGTTTTCTTTTTTTGTGGCATCTTTGTCTGGTTTTATAACGATAACCCTATATGCAAAACAGAAAAAGAGACTCAGATGTATAGAACAGACTTGTGGACTCTGGGAGAAGGCGAGGGTGGGATGTTTCAAGAGAACAGCATTGAAACATGTATATTATCTAGGGTGAAACAGATCACCAGCCCAGGTTGGGTACATGAGACAAGTGCTCGGGCCTGGTGCACTGGGAAGACCCAGAGGGATTGGGTGGAGAGGGAGGTGGGAGGGGGGACTGGGATGGGGAATACATGTAAATCCATGGCTAATTCATTTCAATGTATGACAAAAACTACTGTAATGATGTAAAGTAATTAGCCTCCAACTAATAAAAATAAATGGAAAAAAAAAAGCAATAAAGTTCATATCAAGTCTCTGAAATCACAAATCAAAGGGTAACTTGGCTTCTGTGTAGTACTCAAAGGCTGGAGTTTGTGTCATTTTTGTAGTATCTGTGCATTTATTATAAAGTATGGATTTATAAAACTGTATAGAACACCTTTTTAGTCTGTATAAATGTCTATATAAATAATCCATGCTGTAGTTAACTGCACACATGACCAGATACACACTATATAGACTCTAACCTTGATTTCTCTAATAAAGAGGGATCTAAGTTTGTCTAAGTCTTAAGCTTATTTCTAC